ATACATTTTTAGAGTTTTAACTCCTTTAGTTTAAGAAAAGGATAGGTACAGTCAAAATTTCTATAAATAATGTTTGCAATGTATGATTGTCCTACACTGTCACTGACTGTGGACTGAAGAAGCAGACTGAACACTTCGGCAGCTCTATCTCTACCTGGCTGCCTGTGTGCAGGCTTTTACTACAGTAACACAAACATACCTGGGGCAGAAACTGGCAGAGGTTGCTGACTTGGATGCGCAAAGCCTTGACCTCCTCTTCCACAGTTTTTTGGTTACAGTGTTTTCCATTCAGCATCCACAGAGACTGATTATTCTCCACATGAATCTCTCTGTTAATCACTAGATTACCACCAGTCTTGAACCTTGAACAATGACAATGAGGTTGATTCTACATTTAGATACACTTAACACTGGGGAGAACACACAGAATATTAAAAACAGTCATGAAATCATTACATGGTCAATGTGAGACTTACAGCAGAGAAACATTTAAGTTAGTGTATTTTTAAAATGCCAGTTTATTTTAATAACATGGATATTTCACAATATCAAAATGGATTCATCAGCATCTTCTGAACATATGGAAAATAAATAAACATCACCATCTAAAGGCTTAAACTGTTTTAGTCAAATGTGTGTCTGCAATTAATTTCACACAACTCACAGTTCAATCTCAATAAATCCTTTAGAGCATCCACGCTTGACATAAAGTCCAACCTAAAGAAAAAAAAAAGAAACAAATCCTTTTAACAATTGTCATCTGACTTGTAATAAATTTGTCAACTGAGGTAACTAAAATAATTACACTGGGGGCCCTTGATACAGGGATATGAAACAAACCAGTACACTTACTAGGGCTTCCCCTAAATGCTTGGAAATATGTTCCTGTCACTCTTTTGTATTTAAATACAGAAGCTGTTGTGGTCAAAATCACCACTGAAATTCATGCCATTTGATTTTCTGACAGTCTAGTCTAGTCGGGAACAGCTCTAACGTTTACATCATACTTCTATCATGCATTTAAGTTTACTCAGTGGTTTTCTGGAAAGAAGCTGAGGCCTGAACAAGTTCGCAATGCACCAACATACAGTATATACCAGTAGCTGTTATACTGCTGCTCACCTTGTCGCCTCTGCCCAGGAGAGCAGTCTTACCAGCCAGACCCAGACAGATGGCACAAACGATGCTGGACTTGCCAGTTCCATTGGCTCCAACAATCATGTTCAGATTAGGTCCAGGGTATAACTCAGAGTAGTCATAGGTCCTGTCAGAGTACAGAGTAGACATTTAAGGTTCACCAGCAGTGTTTTATAGCAGATTTTGGACACCTTGCTCAAAATAAAGGCCACCTCCACTAATACAAAAAAAAAAAAACAATCTAAGGAGGACCCTCCAAAATAACCATGAAGTTGAATAAAGAGCTGGTCAAAACACGCTCAACAAAAACAGAGTACTATAACATTCATGAAAGGAGAATTGTGTCGTGATTGTTGTCTCAAGCTGCAGTAGTTTTTATAAGAAGTTCCTATATGGCGCCAGATCAATGGCTTTAGCCTTTGGCACTGAAAAATAAAGCTTGGTATTGAAAACTGTAACTGAAAACAAACAAAACAAAACTGAAACTGTTAGTTTGTGATTAATAGTAACTGTAACGTTACACATCTGTTTTACAAGACACTCGTGGAGTGATACGTTAACTGGTTTCTAGCAACTGAACAACTTGGTCATTTTTTTAGCGTTAACAAGTTAGCATGTCTGCTAGCTTAACTAGCTGTCTACCTTCAGACTGGTGGCGGTTTACAGACGTTTTGTATTACCTAGCGACAGCTAAAGAGGAGGAACTCACAGGAAGTTTTTCATGGTGATTCGAAGTATGGATCCTTCCACATAACGACCCTGTCCGGCGATGTCACCGTGCTGACTGGCTGACAACATGCTATTAAGTGTCTGCGTGCTTCTGGTAACATCACCAAGCCGCTCTCTTTTGCTGGGCTCTTCCATGCCGAATATAAGACCCTGACCAGGAAACTAGAAACGGTCGATCGACGTCGCGCCCTCCGCCGAGTCGTCGCTGAGAGTTGATTGGACAAAAGTGGTCACGTGTAGATACAACGTATCCAGTTATCACCGACTCATCAGAAGTTGTCTATTTAATGTGATGAATAAAAAAATATAGAGTTTTTATAATACCCACTAGTAGACTACTGTATGGCTAGCGTACCCCATGAGCCTCCTGTTTTAAGACTTAAAATCCCCCATTGTGGGATTAATTGTGAGAGTAATATTCGATTGTTCTTGATTTCCTGGTTTTTCTTGATTCCTCTCAATACTATTCTTTTTTGTCTTGTTCCTAGGTATCTTTGTGTCTCAGGGACAAACTGTGGAAGGTCTATTCTTGTTTTTGATTGTCTCTTACATGCTATATTTTGTCTAATTTCTAGGTGCCTGGATCTTGTTTTCTCAAGATATGTGTATGGTGTTTATTCTCTGGTGTCATGTTTTGTCCTTTACTGCTGCTGGAACACTGGAATTTCCCCACTGTGAGATCAGTAAAGTTCAACCTTACCTTACCTTAAAAATGTGAACTATTTAAGATGTATAGGCTTGAGCCAACTTTCAGGGACCTCTAAGTGGGCTAGAGGTTAAGTTAGAGAAGTAACTATGGTTCTGTACATTCCTGCCAAATAGTATTTAGGAGGGACTACCGCAGAACGACAGTGAAACCATTGTGTGTCTTTATGTAGGATGGCTTTCACTTGATTCCTTTGTCTGTCTGCATTGTTTACTGCCTGTTTATTTATGCTGCATTGTTTGCACTGTTTATTCCTTGTTAATACTGCTTATTTTGTTATACTAGACAGCCTTATGTTGTTTTACTGTTTACTTGCCCCTTGCTGTTGCTTTGCATGGGGATATGTACATGCACATTGAGAGCCTCTGTACTAGAGTCAAATTCCGTGTTCAACAATAAAGTTGATTCTAGCACTGACTCCTGAAGTCTTAACTGGCTTTTTTGTTGTTGTTAAATTAGGTCTCACAATCCTCCTGAAGGCTAAACGTACAGTTTGTCACACTTGATTGACTGTAAACGTTTGGACAGAGACATCGACATCTCTTGTTCAACATGAAACAACCAGCTCGTCTCTCGCGAGCACGATGCAGGTCACTCGGTTTCAAACAGTCAAAAAAAAAAAAAATCACTGTCCAGGGCTCCTGGCCGCTTTTCGGTTGTGGTTAGATCAGAATCGCCTCTTTACTCACTGCCTACTATGAAGTTTGAGATGAACCCAAACTCACTGAGAGCTAGTATATCTGATCAATTCATCACCTCTGACCACAACACGAAGCGTGGTAGCCCTGAAAGTTATAATCTCGCCTGCTGCTCATCGCCTCGGAGGCTTGCGAGCGCTTTTCATATCATTTCTGATCAGAGCAGAGCCGGACCCAGACCAGATCAAATAAGATCACTGTGTAGATTTTCATAGCCTATATAAATTACACATTCACAAACAACCGCACACACACAAGACAACACTCATAACGACACGCACCACACACAAGACAATACTCATAACGACACGCACCACACACAAGTCACTCACACTATGAAAAACAAGAACATCCGGGTCGGGTTTAATGCTAAAGCCGCAAAGGCTCATGGGACATAAAAATCAGACAGTAGTTGCATATCGCCCTCGTGTGGATGTTAACGAAACTGACCTCCAATTGTATATATTCTGATTTAATTTCTTGCATTAAATGAAGAAATTACGGTTTTTAGCTACATGGATATCTATATAAAAACAGAAGAAGTGTAACATCTGTTATTAAACAATAAATAAGTGTAAATGAATCATTTAAGGCCCTGCGATGGACCGGCGGCCTGTGCAGGGTGTACCCCGCCTTTCACCTAATGCCGGCTGGGATCTCCCCCCCGGGACCCCGTTCGGGACTAAGCGGTATAGAAAATGAGATTAGATTAATCATTTAAGAATTTATCTACTTGTCATATAGGCTACAATGTATAGTCACATACAGATTTACACTCACACACACACACGTTTGCACCTATACTGTCGTGTAACCTACAATAAATACAGACATATGCACACACACACACACATAGTCAAGACAAAACTGTCTGTTCAGTTGCTTTTACCCTGGGGCTGTTTTATTCATTTGTATCAATGTATTTGTTGTATTTGTTTTGCATTTTTACTCAATGAACAGGACAGCATATTAACTTTAGCTGGATAAATAGTATAGTATACTTTACCTATGTTGCAGTCATTTTACTTATGTAACATTTATCTGTATTGGCCCAATAAAGCCTTTGTTGTTGGAGTCTCTGTCTTTCTTAATGGGCTTGGAGATATACTGTAGGAGTCGACTGGTGCAGTGCCTTGTTGTGGTGGTTTTAAGCTGCACTTGTGTCTGCAACAATTAACTAATCTAGTGTCCCATGTGCCCTGTGGGGGCTGTGAAGTAATCTTGAATGGCATAATAAGATTTCAGTGTCTACTACCACTACTGAATACTGCCAAATGGCACATAGAGTCTGTCGATTTCTCATCAGCCGCAATGTTAGATTTGGATGCAGCAAAGAAATAGACTAAAAGATCTAAGTGAGAAGGTGTGATTTTTTTTTTAAAGAATGGACTAAAACACTGTTATCACCATGGAGGGGACAAATGCCAAAAATGTGAGTTCATGCAATTTGGCTTATATTTTTAGTTGTGTCTAGTGACTGAAAGGCCGGTGTCTGGTTTGGTGGCCATCTGTCTATTTTAGTTTTTTTTTTAACTTTTGGTCAGCCTGTAATTGTAGCCTCAGTGAGTGTATACCTATGCTTTACTTTGAATCCATGTCCAGTAGACTTTGTATCCTTCTTATTATTATTACTAAAATAAAAATGCATGCATTTTTAAAGGACACTGGCACAATCTAGAATTTTTCAGAAAATTAGGATAATTCATTGAGTCTCTATTAACTTTTGCAATTGCTTTAGTTAGGTTATGTTGTCATTGAAGATTTGTATCCACATTAAAAGATGTCAAACATAAGATTCAGTAAGTGTGTATATTCTATCCTCATGATCATTTTCTGAGTTGTATGTATATTTTAATGTTCCCTTGATTTTCAAATTATTCTGGTCGCTTCAGAAAGCTGATGGAGCCCCATGTTGTACTGTATGTAAGCATGAGACATAACACCACCATAACATGAAGACATGGTTGTTGTCATTTTGATGGATTTATCTTGTAATGAAACTGAAAGAATTCTAATACAAGGTCACCAAAAGGTTAAGATTAATCTGCAGGCAGGATGGAGATCCTGATAAAACACAACTGAACCACCAAAAAGAAACCACATTTATCCTTTGGCTACTATCAGACACTCACCTCAAGCACTTACAGCTCATCTATGAAATACTGTGTTGACGTCTCTGAAGGTAAAATTAGTCAGCTAGTAACAATATAATCCAAAACATTTGTGCTAGAGGAAAGGGCAAGTTGTCAGTGATCAGATGGAGTGGTTTTGCTGGAATCCATCCCAGCCCTGACTGGAACAAGTGTCCAGTCCTTGGCCTTGTCCCTTCTCAGCAGGGGTCCAGGAAGAGACACGATCTGGAGATTTATCTCAGAGACATGAACAGTAAAAAGCACAATACCAAATACAAAGCCTGAGGATCACAGTAGTCAGCTGTAGGGCAGTTTATAAACAAAATATACAATCACAGCGGCATCTACCATCTGTTCCCTGCTCAGTCCTTCCCTCCTGCTTATTTGTGCTCACTGTGGCAGACATTTGATTGTGTTATAGTGGGAAGTTTTTATCCCATGTTATGTAATGAGTGCAGTAAATGCAGATATTTATATGGTCTTCTTTTTAATTACTGGTCAAACTTTGCTCATGTTTCATCAAAAGACAACTGAGCTGTTACATCACTGCTGTGCTCCAACACAGCTCACCTGCTTAAGCAACACAGCAGACATTGTCCCTTTTAGCTTTTATCTAATTAGTCCATTCAGATGAAGATCAAAATAAAGATGGTTTGACAAACAAGCCTTCACTATTAACATGTGTATCTCAGCTAGTGGCTGTGAAATAATTTATTAACATCACTAGATTACTAACTGCGTGTCTCCATGTTTTTTCTTCTTTCATGCTTTTTAACTGTCTAATTTGACAGAAACCAGGATATGGACATCACAAAAAAGGTATGTTAACACACAAACACTGAACTAAAAAGGAAATACAGTTCACAATAGTGTGGATTAGAATACTGGTTTGATAGAAGGATCACTTGGCAATTTATAATAAAATATTTGGTTATTTATTGCATTTGACCTATCACAAGACATCAGTCAGTCTATTTGAATGACTTATTATCTTTACCAGACACAGCGAGCCAGATTTACCCAGAACTGATGTTAATTGCCCAAGTTGTCACTGAAAAAAATATTTTTTTTAATCTGTGATTATGCTGCCAAATGACTTTGTGACTCAAATGATTACAAATATACTAAAACTCATTTACTTGATAGTCGACTACTATTTGATAGCAATGTAGAGCCAGTGCTTTTCTACTGATCTGTCTTCAGAGCAGCTTTCAGTTAGTTGTATTAGTATAAATGATCAGAACTAAGGAGTTAACACTAGACAGCTGGGGGTTTTTTTGTCAGAGACCTCTGTTGGCCGTCCACCACTGTCCCGTCAGTCCACAGCAGACTGTAGCGGTGATGAGATCATTCAGCCCAGAAAGCTGAATGGCTCCTCAGTGGAGACACCGAGTTATCAGAACCTGCAGCGGGAGCTGCTGCTCAGCCATAAACGGTAAGGTCAGACACTAAAACAGATGAACTGTGTTTGTATGTGTGTGACTATGGCTCTCACTGACCATGCAGGGGCCTACTTCTGGAGGAGAAGCCGGAGCTGAAGCGAGTGTTGGAGCAGCGCAGGCTGGAGCTGCATAAAGAGGCGGAGATGGCACAACGGCGGCCATCAGATCTGGAGATGGAGCTTCGCAAGAGGCAGCAGAAGCTGCAAGAGGTCAGGACCTGGGACAGAAGCATATAAGAAACAGCTGAGAGACATTTCACAAACTTCTTATAATACAATATTATTATATTATATGTATATTATAATACAAATAAATTCACTCTGGCTCATGGTTGTTCATGAAGATGGTTTGAGCATTTGGATTGTTAAGGCCAATACCATGACTCAGTATAGTCAAGTACTGCTTAAGTAATTTTGAAGCATTTGTATTTTACTTCTTCATTACTACATTTAGTGACCGCTGCTGCTACTGATTCATTTTCAGATTCAGATTTTACATTAAAAACACATGATACACCTAAAAAATATTAAGGATTTTTAAAGGTAAGCCTGTGCTTTCTAGCCTTTGTTACCTATTGTTAACTTTTCAATTAAATAAAGATTTGCCCTTTAAACTTTTCAGATGGTTTCATTTAAATAACAGTTTAATTCAAAAAGCTCAATTTATCAAAGCAAAGATGAGAGAAAAGTGCAAAAACAATGAAAGCAAGTGTGTATATAAAACTATCATGTCATGATCTGAGAAAGTATATATTTCACTGTTAAAAATGCCAAACTGTTTTCTATTAAAGGTTTCACCAACTGACATCATGTGCTATTATTAATCAGCTCTAAATCCAACTATGTTTATGGCTGAATAGCCCAAAGATTTTATCCAGCACAGCTCTTCTGAGGTTGAATGAGATTTCTAGAACAGCATTTACGCTCTGGGACATTAACACTATCTTTTTGAACTTCAGTGATGGAAATTTAATAAGTGTAATCTCCTCTTAGTCTGGACTGGTCAATGGACTGACCTGTTCTTTGCTTTTCTAGTATGAGCAGGAGGAGCTCAGGCGAAGAGAGAGCCAGCAGAAGATCCCAGAGTTTGTCCGTGTGAGGAACAACCTGAGGCGCACACAAACATTTGAGCAGTGACGCTCTCAGACTCCCATCAGCCCCTGCAGCTGGCCACACATCTCTTAGTGGATTTTAAATATCGGAATTTGTGTAAAAAAATCATGTGCACCAGCAAATACACAGTCTATGTTTAGAAACGTCTTCTTAAAACTTAATCACAGCTCTGTTTCTGGTGAGGAAGTGGAAACTCATTTTATTCATAAAATGTAGAAGAATATTTATCAAGGGAACATATACAGTTCAGATGATGGAATTTTTTTATGTTTTTTTTTTTTTACTTTAAAAAAAAATCTATTTGTGATGTTTCTTTCTAGAATAAACCAGCAAGTTGTGGTTTGTTCATCATTGGGATTAGATCAATTAAGGGGTTAGGGCCATTCTTTACGTTAAAGGACGTTATGTGATTCCTAACAGAGATATTTCTCAAAATATTTGGTTTTTATTTATAAAAATTCACCAGTATTATAACAGTTCATATTTGTTTTTTTGTTTCTGTCACAACTTTTGATTTTTTAGCATGTCCATATGCTGTGAAAATAAAGGCATTTTGGTTTGCAGAGATGCTTTGTTTTGCTGGACACAATTCAAAGCACCGGAGACTGATTTGCATGCAGCTCTCTCCCTGAGGACTCTCACGTTTCTTTCACATGGATATGGGACTTTGTTTAATTAGCTGATCTTTTCATTCCATCACGGGATGAGAGGAGAAAGCACGAGCCATCTGGAGCTGGCTTTTCAGGATATATAGGCAAAGAATACCCAAGGGCCTGGTTAAGGCACTGGAAACATTTGGCATAGTCAGGAAAGCCACCGGCTGAAGGCAAATATAAGAAATAAATGTAGGTCCAGAAAAAAAATGAAGAGGTACAAACTTATTTTCCCATATTTGTATATTATAAAAGTGAATTATTATTACTAGTGCATTATTATGTAAGCATTTTTATGTTGTTGCTGTTGAGGTGGAGCTGATTCTATCCAGTTTTATAGTTTATAACAGCACATCATATTTTATCTCATTAACTTATGCTTTATACTGAGAAGTCAGTCTGTAACAATACATAACATTTTATAAGTTCAAAAATCTGAATCTGTAGTGTAACAAGTAGGTGTCAAATATATGTAGGACTAAAAAGTACAACACTTGCCAGTACTAATCAAATGGAAAGACTCTTACAAATAGAGCTATATCAAATACAATATTTGAGCAACTTTTGGCCTATTCTCACCACTGGCTGTATAAAACAATAAAAAATAAAAAATTGATAGGCTATAGATATATGAACTAATGTGAAATTATCCCCAAGCAATCGTCCAGTGAACACCAGTAGGAGAAATAAATGTACTTAAGTACCCTAATTAGCCATTAAATTTTCATTTGTCCTATTACATTTTAATGAAATCTAGGACTTGGAAATAATAATGAATGAACGACTCAAACTCGGTCAAACGTGACGTTTTGGTCCTTTTTCCAGCATCAGGACGGAGAATGGAATAGAATGGTGCTGCTCACCACTAACAGCAGCACTTACTTACCAGCTGTCCTGTTTGTTTTTTTTAACCCAAAGTTGTCTCTCCCTCCTGCCATTCATCTTTGGTGCCCCTTTTCAAATTAAAAGCCCCCTCTGTGAGTCGCGTGCTGTGTCAATACCCAGATTGTGTCTGGAAAGTCAGCAGCGTAGGACCGAACCACTGAGAAGAGTCCGGGGAAGTAGGTGGCACGAAAAAGCCAACCTTTCTCGATTAAAACTTACTTTAGTAAAAACGAACAATTTAAGAGCGATTTAAAGGGACCTAAGCATTACTGAACTAAACACCAGGACAAATTAGCTAGCAAAAAAATACTACTAAGAGAGATAATTCAAGTTGTCCCCCCTTCACCGAGAAAGTAGATTTGGCTGAAACAGATGTCCCGAACACTGCTCCCACATCTGATCTGAGAAAGTGGGAAGAACTCGGACAAGATGCTGTAGAGGAGCATCTCAGTCTACACAGGGTAAGTGCAAATGGTTTTGTAGGATAACAGCATATTATAAAGGGAGATACTGGGCATGGAGAGAGCTGCAACGTTGATTCAACCTGTACTAAGCATGAAGTGTATTGGGCAATGGAAATGGTAAGCATGCAAAACAGTTGGTTTAAATGAATCAGCTGTGTCGGCTGTATATTGCTAACACTTAAAAAATAGAAATAAGTCTTCATGAAAAGCGGCTACTTTGCTGAAGAAAAAGAAGTAATACCTCGGTGTATAAATAGGCTCATCGGTTTCAGGTTATTTGCAGGACTTGTTATAACTTTGTCACTATTTATATAACTATACACAACTTAATCCTGAGCAAGTCTAATTAGCCACACAAGTGTAAACATGCGTGGATGTGTGGGCATTGTAGTCTACTTTACTGCAGTTATCTGATAGCTGTACCCTACTACTCACTTAATAGAACTGCAGCTGCAACTATGGCATCAAACTGCTTCTTACATGTTAATGCATCAGAAGTAATAATCTAATAGCCTGAAAGGGACCGTTCAGCATATTGAGGAAATTTACTTGTAATACTTTAGACATTGTTTGCTGTTTCTTTTACTTCAGTAAAAATGAATGCAGGACTTTCAGTTATAGTGGATTTTTTTTATAGGGCAGTATTGTTGTAAAGAATCTGAGCACTTCCTCCACCACTGCTCTTCCTCTTGCAATAATACTTGTTAATAAACTGTAAAAGAAGAAGTAGAACCCCTCCATTGTACAGCTTATAGACTAAACAGTTATGATAAACAAACAGAAAACAGCTGCGTTGAGTCTCTACCGTTGAATCACTTGTTCTGTATTGTACCATGAATAACATGCTGGTCTGTGGGAGTTGTTTGTACCCACAGCAGCAGAATAAACACAATCTCCTACAGTCCGCACGTTGACAGACATGCATTGCTGCTGTGGTGCTAAAAACAACACCTCTGTGTTGTTGTGCCCCTTGAGTCCCCAAGTTCTATTGTAGGTGGTGGGCACTTGTGGGTGGAAGCTGTAACCACATCCTGTCAGTGGCCTGAGATGATCAGCAGTGTCCATTCAAAACTGATGATTCGGAGGGACAAGGTGTCATGATCCCTTGCCAGCCCTTCGGCCTCTGGAGAACAATAGAGCATCTCTTCTTGCTTTCTTTATTTAAGCTGTCATTGGTCTGTGACCAAGCTGGTATGTCTGGTTAGCATATGGCCTCCAGTGAGTGAGAGCAGTGCTTATTACCCATGCATTGTCTCTGCTGGAAAACTAAGAGCCCTGCACTACTTAACAGTGTTAAGATTAATGATTGTGGACAAAAGAAAGACGCTGACAGAGTTTCATCCTTTAAAATAGTCTTCTCATGTTATCAGAGCCTCCTGTCTGCATTTTGCTGTTGTCTGTGGAGCTTCCAAATTCAGCACAGTGTCTGACCGGACACCAGTGACCTGCTCTATTATACAACATTTTTTCCCCTGCAGCTCCCCCACATTGATGCACTTTTCTTCCAGCAGCCCATATTGTGTAGAGAGTCAATCCATTTTGCTGAATGGATTTTGGCTTTTTGTCAGACTCTGAAGTAAGGCATGCTGTAAAGTCGTATGGTTTCTTCCATAGTATCAGCATTCAGTGGAGAATCTTAATTACAGGGTTTGAACAGGCCTCGGTCTGCTTTCAGGCATCCCTCACTGTTCCCTCAGTGAGGCCGGTCCCTGCTGGTAATTCCATGGTCAACCACAGTGGTAATGAGCACAGCGGTGGTGACAGTGTTCCAGGAGATCACAGCTCCAGAGGCTCATGGGAGAAGGTGGTGGGGGAAGTCTGGGAGACAGTGAATCCACATCGTGATGCCATAAACACTCACTTCCTTAGATGTTACACTGACACAGTTCACTAAGCAGTGAGATAGGTGGGGGTGGTAACCTGACACATTCCTAGATAGTCATCATTAGCTGTGATCACGCACTCCTCTCAGTTAAAATGCTATGAAAACATCATGAAGTCTGTCTGGTGTGCTATCAGCAGCCATCCATCCAGGAAGCGGACTGCTACACTTCATCAAGTAAAAATAGTTTAGTTTTTTTTTTGTTTTGTTTTGTTTTTGGCTCTCCCTAACAGTATCATTTCAGTGACTTGTGGTTTTTATGACAAATCAGCGTCTTAGCTTTAAGCTACAGCTTCTAGTGAGATCTGACGTTTAACCCAAACTCACCCACTCATTCAGCCTAGATGTCCGACCACAGGCTCCTGTGATAGTCTTCACAGAGTTATGGGTTGTCAGTGGATAAATCCCTCTCTACCCTGTCTGTCTCTGATTACCAGGCTGTGTCTGAAACTAAAGCAGGACTCCGACCTCGCATAGCAAAAACTCAGCACTGTACCTTTCTCCACCTCCCCACTGCAATCTAGTCTCAGTATTGGCCCAACAATGCCTGAAACAGAGTTGTCAGCAGATATTGCAGCCACAGCAGATTATTGAGGCCGGATGGTAAATGCACAGCCTTTGTTGCAGTGTTGTTTTACTGACTCGAGCTGCCTGGCCATGCCTCATTGTGTTCATAGCTGCGTCAGTTCACATGAGCTACTGTGGTGAATAGGTCAGACCTATGGGATACACAGTAACATCCTGTGAGAGGAGGTTCTCATCCACATGGGCTCTGAGTCTTCCTGGTCCCTACAGGAAAAGGCCTGATACCAATCTCAAAACACATAGGATGAGACAGGAGCTGAAGATTATGAAGTGCAGTCATTCCATTTGTGTGTTCATAGCACATCACTGACTTCCTGTATGAGTTTTGTGGGCATGATTTTAACACAGATGCTGCTCCAAGAGTCATCAAGTATATGAACTATTCTTCTATGAATATATGGTGGCAAATGAATGATATCCTTTTTCAGGCTCATCTCCATAACTTTGTATTTTGTGACTTTCTGGCTTGTTTAAGGAAGGGTGGTGGCAGGCATGTGAGAGCCAGAGTAAATTAAATGACCTAAAAATCTGAGTAAATAAAGGCAGCATCCCTCTTGTCCTGAGGCGATTTCACTGCAGCAGCCACACACAGATCATCAGCTTCTCCCAAAATGTTGTCTCTAGTTTGTTGTTGTCATTGTGTTTATTAGTAATCAGATGTCTGGTGGAAAACAATGACAGGGTGGCCCATAAACATGAATTGTACTTGACTGGTTGTGAAAGTTGTTAGCGAAATGGGCAGTGTTGCGTGGGAGTCAGCAGGGGCCTTGCGAGCTGATGCTGTGTGGACAAGCCCAGCACTGAGACATTCTTCCACTTCAAAGCCCCCAGAGGGTTTTCTACACACTGGTTGAATAGGAGTTGAGGGAGGGGTGTGTGGGGGGAACAGGTGCAGTCCATGAGTGGGGTAATTCCCGCTGCCATCTGCTTTCTTTTTGGGGCCTGGGCTCTTTAAATGCCCTCTGACACGCCTCATGGCAACACGCTCCTCTAGCCTGCCGCACCATGCCCCGTCACCATGGCACCACGTTTCGGATTAACCCCTGCACATGTGCCAAGTCAACCGTGGGGGTGTGTCTCTTTTGTGACCTGGGAGGAAGAAAGGGGTGGAGGAGGAGGAGGAGGATGGAGATAGAGAGCTGCATGGATTAAGTGTGTGAAAGGACACTCGCCAGTCATTCACTTTTGTTAAGTAAAGCAGCAGGAGCGAGCATGAATGAAGCCATGTGGCAGGAAAACAAGAGGAGAATCTATTTTCTTCTAAATGACCTTTCTAACTTTATTAATCTGGAAAAATCTGCTTATTTCAACAGGTATTTCAGAAGCTTGAGAGCATATAGTCAAGATGACGACCATCGAGAGTAAAGAGGAAATCAGTGACAGTGACAGTGGGATTATTTTGCACTCTGGTAAGAACGGCATGAACAAAATATGAAGTACATTATCAATAGAACAATATAGGATCTGATTTCTGCATAATCAAAAATTCAGTTAAGTAAAGCTCAACCAATGATTGATTCTTTCAGGCAAATATCAGACAATATCTGAACGTTAAAAAAATCAGGTATGATGTTATATTGACTGACAGTACAATTATAAAACATCCATCCATATCTATACCACTTATCCTGACGAGGGTCACAGAGGGGCCGGAGCCAATCCCAGCTGACATTGGACAAACAGCTTTAATACGACACAGCACTGACCTGCTTCTGCAAGTACATGATGAGAACTGATGCTAGGCAGAGGGCAGAATAAGAAAATCAGCACTGAACAGTTCACAGTTCTTCTTCATCTTCTTCTTTCGGCTGTTCCCGTCAGGGGGTCGCCACAGCGAATCATCCGTTTCCACCTAACTCTATCCTCAGCATCCTCTACTCTCACCCCAATTAACTTCATGTCCTCTTTTAGCACATCCATATATCTCCTCTTTGGCCTTCCTTTTGACCTCTTGCCTGGCAGCTCCATCTCCAACATCCTTCTACCAATATAACCACTATCCCTCCTCTGCACATGTCCAAACCATCTCAATCTGGCCTCTCTGACCTTGTCCCCAGAACAGCCGACCTGAGCTGTCCCTCTGATGTGCTCATTCCTAATCCTGTCCATCCTGGTCACTCCTAAAGAGAACCTCAACATCCTCATCACTGCTACCTCCATCTCTGCCTCTTGTCTTTTCCTCACTGCTACAGTCTCTAACCCATACAGCATAGCTGGTCTCACTACTGTCTTGTACACCTTTCCTTTGATTCTTGCTGCCAGTCATTGTCACACAACACTCCTGACACCTTTCTCCACCCACTCCAGCCCGCAATGCTGTATAGCAATAGCTGTAGTGCTGATCAGAGTACTAAAAATTCTGTGTGCAAACATAAACATGCCACACAATACATTATTTACAGCAGAAATAGTAAATAGCATATATGTTTTTAGGGATGACTAGGCAAAGCTCTGATATTCTGTGTTCACCGCAGGTCCAGATAGCCCCACATCCCCAGTGAAGGACCTGACCACCCACACCAGAGCCCTGAAACTGAAGCACCAGTCTCTGGAGGAGCGCCTGGAGCTCTGTCTGCTGGAGCTCAGGAAGCTGTGCATCAGGGAGGCAGTAAGTCGCCTCCTAGAGCATGTCACCACTACCATGACATTAGTTTGGCCTTGAATGGTTATAAGGAACATGCTAAGAGTTCTAATGCATCATAAATATACAGGTCATCTTTTTTTGTGATCACAGGAACTGACTGGCACACTGCCCTCAGACTATCCTCTCATGCCTGATGAGAAACCACCTGAGGTCAGAAGGAGGATCGGTGCTTCCTTCAAGCTAGACGAAGGTTTGATCCACCTGGATAAACAGGTATGGGCCACCGTCAGTATTTCAGAAGAAATTATTATTCATCAGCTAAAACTAAATGCCAGAACTTGTGTCTGCTGTAGGATTCAGAGTTGCAACTACTGGAAACTGACTTGGCTGTCCAACAACAGATTTATGAGGCGGCCCGCAAACTGTCCCTGGAAGAGAACCTCAGTAAACCACAGAGGAAGAGCCGGCTGCAGCAGTGCAAGAGAGAGGAGAAGAAAGTGAAGGATCTGCAGGAGGCTGTGTTCCAACACAGGATCAAGAGCGAGTGCGACTCTCCATGCATCAGTGTCTCGACCAGCCGAAACAAAGGTGAATGACGCTGCTGCCCCCTACAGGCCATACTATACACTGCACCCATGAACACTGGGTTTGATGTGCATTTGTTTGTTTTCTGTGTGCAGACCTGAGCATTTCTGATGACAGCTCCTTGTCTGATGTGGTGGCCCTGGATGATGGTGAGTGGGGAGTACATGTAAACTTTAAACATTATCATCATTTACATGTAGTGGAAAGAAGCATATAATCATGACAGGTGTGTTTCCTACTGACTGTTCTCTCTGACCGTCCACAGATGTGGACTCGCCCGGCCCTCTCTCTCCTCCAATGTTAGGCACTCCCTATTTAGACTGTGCACAGCTGTCAGCCAAGACCCTGCAATCATCAAGCCAGCTCAACTTGGAATATGAACGCTCTCCCATCCAGAACTCTCCATGGAAGGAGTCCAGTCTGGACCAGCCTTTCCAGAAGGCCACAAAACTTCAGTCAGCTTGCAGCAGCAGGTCTTGGTAGGTATGAATTCGAAGTGTAAAGACCCACTGAATGCACACTGTACTAGGCAGAGTGAAACTACAGCATGACCATCTAGTAGAAAATAAAATAATCAAATGCAAACAGACAAAAGAAAATCAAGAAGCCTAGTGTCAGTGTGCAAACAGGGGAGGATAAGCCACAGTTTTTAGGCAAAGCAAGGCAGCTTCAGTTATGTAGCACAGAGGCAGTTCAAAGTGCCTCATGTCTCATGTCGATGTCATCCCATCTGTGTTTGTTGGTGACAGTAGTCCAGCAGGAACTCAGGTGTCTGCAGAGAGCAGCAGGATTCCTCTCTCTCAGTTTGTCATGAACTCTGTCCTGCGTCAGAACCACTCCACCAGCACCCCCTCCACCCCAGAGCTGCATGTACGTCATCAGTACTCCCAGTCCTTCAGGTATGGCAGAAAATCGTGTCAGATACGTCAACCTCAAGATGTTCAGCGAGTATAAAACTGTGTTCTATAATTTTTATTTGATGTTTCTCCACAGACTTCCCAAAAGTAAGCCGTCTGCTGACATGCTTAGCTCAGAGAACAGTCGAGGGCGAGCCAAACTGCCCCAGCGGTGTTTTGTGGCTGACTTCACGGTACGTTCTCCAGAGTGCTCTCCCTTGCATCCATACCAGTCTAGCTCCGAGGATAGTGGCTCGGAGCACTCATCCTCCTCCTATATCAGCTCTCCTGGCAGAGACGCTCCCACTGAGATCCCCAAGCTCTGCCCACCGCCTTACGGATTTCACTTTGGAGCACAGAAGAAAGGACTCTCTAGCTCACACAGGAACACTACCCAGTCTCAGCCCAGCCCTGACTATGTCAAGGCCACAGCAGAGGGCGGGCCCCTCTCCCCTCAAGACATGAACATGGGAAGGTGCTTCCTGTCCTCCCCTCCTGTGGCACACAGCCCTCAGCAAAGGCAGTGGCACGGGGGAGCATTGTCCCCGAGGAGAATCCTAAAGCCCCCTCCGCCTTACACCAGGCTGGTGCGAACGCCCTCACTGAAGGAGTACCCAAACCACGCCATCCGGCTGATGCCCAGGGAGATTGTGTCAGAGGAGCTGAAGTCCTGGCACCAGAGGAACCGGCTGCAGAAGTTACAGCCAAGCTGCATGGATCAGCAGAGCTCCGTGTGTGTCGTGAGCCCAACTTCACCTCACCTGCCTCCATTTACACAGGTTGGTACTAATACTCATCCAACATTAAAACAGGCCACTAAGATACTTTGATGTCATTTAAAATTGCAGGAGGGCATATTCAATTTGTCTTAGAGTTCATGTTTATTAGGTCTGCAACTCACTCTTTGCTTTCATAATTGATTAGGATATTGATTATCTTCTTGATTAATTGTTCAGTCTGTAAAACATCAGAAAACAATGAAAAATGGTCATTACACTATCCTAGAGTCCATGGTGATGTCTTCAGGCCCCATGCTTTGTCCATCCAAAAGTCCAAACCCAAAGATATTCAGTTCACAATAATGTTAACAACTGGAAAAACAGAACCGTGATATTTGTGGCATTTCTTTCTTGATTATATAAAGTATATTTATTTAGAATGCACACAGTGAACACAGACTTTTGTTTTTTGCAGGGTTCAGGTAATGTGATCCTCCAAAGAGCTGCAGACGGGACTCCCCTTCAGTGGTTTGTTACAGAGGATGCCGAAATTGTGAGCCAGGTGTAGCTGAGACCTCCACTCCTCTGCAGTACGTTCAGTCAAATGTCTGCTATCGCTTTCTATTTATCTCTGTATATTTGTTAAGCCTCTGGACCCTGTGAGATTGTATGTTGACGAGAAGCAAGGAACGTGGACCTATTGGTGCTCGGATGAGCACGTCTCTCTTCTTTTAATTTAAAACGTAATGTAAGGTGGTGTGCCAGTTTTATTTATTTTAAATTGTTTTCTAATGGATGCTTCTAAAATTTCTGAGGTGAATTGAAGTTCATGCCATTTCATAATTGTGTCAAATGGATCATAAACTTGCTGTGTTTTCAAGAATTTCCTCATGGCTGTCACACATTTTGCACATAAAATTCACCTACAGTAGTTTTCAGATGTTTCCCAGATTCTAATATAATTTCAGCATTATACTATATTTATATATTATTTACAGTTTACCTTGCAGCACAGAACTATTACAAAACATTTGACATACTGTACGTACCTTTGAAAATGCATTGCTCTTTTGTATATATGTACAGTATAGATAAAGTTTAACACCTTTCTAGTCATAACTTAATGTTGAATCTTAATGTTTGCTATTAACTCCTAATAATTAATCACTGATGCCTTTAACGGTGGTTTGAGAAATGTATTCACTGCAGTATGGTGTTTTGCTAATAACCAAGTGATTATATCAGTTTTGATATTTTTTGTATATTTATAATAAAGAGATATGGGCTGACAGTTATGCTTGTGATATCCTTGTTTTGAAGATATGGGTAAAAAATGTATTTCAGAGCACGTGGATGAACAACCAAAAGCGTTACATCAAAATGTTTTATATTCATATACAAAGAGCTTTCCTGACAGCTGGTCTACACAATTTGATGTTCGCAGTACAGTCACAGTATTTAGAAAACATCCTGATAACTGTATATTCCCCCCAAAAAAACAGATCATGGTTCAAGCGCTCCATCATGGAGTTTCCACAGATAGTAAGTCAATGTTATGATGCAGAAGAGCACCATCAGGTACATGCAGAGGAGCGCCCAGCGACAGCAATGCAGCCAGTGAGCCGGAGGACATTGTCTCCACAAAGAACCACACCTGAAACAAGCAGCCGGTAAATGTTTGTGCAGAGGAAACCACCAGTCATCAAAAGGCTTTAAAAAGCTCTAACAAATCTGGGGACCTACATGCCCGCAGGGATCTGTTGGCTGGTATTCATACTCTTTTTATCCTTGTCTGCTTTTTTCTTTGATAACCCAGCTTTGCCCTTGTGTCTCTGTCGCAAAGTATCCAGAGGGGAGCTGTAATAAAGACACATTTTATACAGGTGACTACAGTTAAATTATTCCAATATAGTTCAGTCTCCAGCAACACTTGTTTCCCCAAATGCAGCTTCATTTGTTAAAGTCATTTAACACAGAAGAATATGCATCATGTAGGCCTTACTTTTTGTTTTGTATCTTTCTGGTACGAGGCTGTTTTGATGTGGGCCACTCTGGGCTGGTGATGGGAGAAGAGTCTAGAGGAAACCGAGCAGCTGAAGTTTCATCTGGATCAAATAGCCTGAAAGAATAAAAAAGAAGGAATGACTGTGATGCCAACTTGCTCATCATGTGGCCTCAATACAGAAATTCAAGTCGCTAGGTGACCTGTCATCCACTGAGCGGCGGTCGTCTTTGGTCGGAGAAGAGCAGGCAGGGAATAACTTCCTGCTGGAAATCTCTCCATGAGCAGCCTGCTTCCTCAAATCTTGCTTCCTTCTCTCCTACATACAAAGAGGTACCTTATGTTATTTGGCCAATGACATTTCTAAACAAAGAGGGAAATTCTACTAAGAAAAACATTTTTACTTGGGCTGGACTGGAAATGACTGACACACTGATCCTTCGACGACCGCCATTCTAACAAAATAGAGAGAGAGGAACATAGCGATGAAGAGGCAGTAACTACATTATTAAGTAGTACAATAGGCCAAATATGTGCACACCTGCTGAGCACTTCTCTGCCTGTTGTCACTTTCCTCTGGGTCTACAACAAGACAACCAGGTAGTCAGAACAGAAATATTGCACGTGACAGTAGAACAAGACAAAGAGCACGAGACAGACACCTGGGGACACTCTGGGATCGATGGTGTTTCTGCCAGAGCTCTGCTGCTCAATCAGCACTCTGGCCCCTTGCAGCGCCGCCACGTTTCTGTCATGTTGCCTCCTTAGATTCTCCACATGAGCCACCACGAGCTCGACTGCTCGGCTCACTCGAGCCTCCTGCCAAAGACAGATAATAAAATATTGAGTATAAAAACCATGCTGGATGGATATATGAGACTATTTTACAATAAAGCGCACTAACACAAGATCCTAACAGTTATTAATAGCAGTCTTTTTAGTACAGAATTTCATGTTTTTGTTACTGTTTCTCCCCTGTACCTCAACGGGGACACAGAAAGAGGGAATGCTAGACTAACTTTAGGAGCTATCCACTTGATTTGTCTACCTCAGACTGCTGTAGCCTCATGCTAACTTCAGTGTTTTCATGCATTTTTATAGAGGACTGTAGATTTTGTCCCCCATCACTTTCACTGACACAGCATTAGGAAGGGATGTCTTGCTGTCCAGTGTGAATAGAGGAACCAAATGATTAAATGTTCATACGGGCACCTACAGTAACTTTCAAGACAGACTACAACATTTGTGAACCTTTAAACTGAGTCAGGCCCACATGTGATAGTGCTTTTCTTTACTCAGCTGTAAAATAAAATCCAATGAATTGTAAGCAGTACTGAACTTTTCAAAAACAAAATAGGAGCGAAGCGGTGTCAGAGTACCTGGTGTACAGCCCCCAGCACCTCAGCCGTGTTGGAGATTCGTTCCACAGTCCCAGCGAGGATGGCCAGAGACAGCTCCAGCCTCTGCAGGACCTTACTGCGCATACTGTCCAAGCACAGGCCCTTTAGTGTCTGAAAACACATGCACACATGAGTCTCTCCACTCCAGTGACTTACTTCAGACCTTCTGTCACACACTGCACTGATGGACACTGATGGTGTGCATAAGGGTGTCCATCAGTGCACATGGCACCAGGACACCCTAGGCCGGAGGTCGATGATCGACTTTGTGGTTGTTTCATCTGACCTCCGGCCGTATGTCTTGGACACTCGGGTGAAGAGAGGGGCGGAGCTGTCAACTGATCACCACCTGGTGGTGAGCTGGATCCGATGGCGGGGGAGGAAGCTGGACAGACTCGGCAGACCCAAACGTATTGTGAGGGTCTGTTGGGAACGTTTAGCAGAATCCCCTGTCAGAGAGATCTTCAACTCCCGCCTCCGGCAGAGCTTTGACCAGATCCCGGGGGAGGTTGGAGATATCGAGTCCGAGTGGACCGCATTCTCCACCTCCATTGTCGATGCGGCCATTCGGAGCTGTGGCCGTAAGGTCTCCGGTGCCTGTCGTGGTGGCAATCCCCGAACCCGGTGGTGGACACCGGAAGTAAGGGCTGCCATCAAGCTGAAGAAGGAGTCCTTTCGAGCCTGGTTGGCTCGTGGGACTCCTGAGACAGCTGACAGGTACCGGCAGGCCAAGC